AGGACAAGACGGTTGCTGAAGGTATCACATGCTTTGGCTGAAGGACATGGAGAAATCAACTGAGGGCACAGTAAGATGGCTGGTGCAGTAGGTAAAGGTGCTTTCTCCTAGGCCTAAAAACCTGAGATCAATCTCCGGAAACCGCAGCAGACAGGGGAAGTAACTCCAGCAAGCTGACCTCTGACTTCCACAGATGTTCATGTACATATGTATACAAATACACACACAGAGAAGTAATTATGAAAAGAGAGATCTAGCTGGGACTAAGATAGAAAGTTCCTTCCTAGTGACTGTCTTAACTGTGACCTGCTAAGGGGAATTTCTAACCACTAGTCCTTCGCTGTGGATCCTGTTGCTGCACCATCAACTTTCCAAATGAAATGTGTTTGCTTGTGCAACACTGGCACAATAGTTACAGGTGCAACCATGTGCTTTCTGGAGTCACGGCCTACTCCACAGAGAAAACTCATGGCTGTGCTTTAAACCAGAGCAGCAGTTCTTAATTAAAGAGGTCATAAACCTTAAGGTGGCAGGGGGACAATTGCTGTTGTTTTCTTGAGTGAATGTGAAGTGCCTATCAAACTTTATTCTAAATGTTTATGTTTTTCCTGTAGATCATTGTTTCTGCTATTCCTGGTTGCACAGGCTTCTTTTAGGAGAGGAAAGCAGTTACTGCAGATACTGCTAAAGTGGTCAAAGTGTTAAGAATAACTGACTATTGAATGTTCAGCCCTAAATGGAGGTTCTACATCACCCTCTCCAAGCCTCACCAAACATTGCAGAAAAAGGGATAAAAAGAAGGCGGGATGCTGGGAAGAGAGGGGGGGGCATGACCCAGAAAGAGCTAAGAAAGAGGTAGAATCGGTTTTTATCCTCAAAGCAATAATGTGATCATTGCCAACCTTAAATTAGAGCGGGATTTGTCACAGGATTGAACCTACTAACTTTCCCTCATGGAGGGCAGGGAGGTCTCACAAGATGCGTGCGCAAGGCTGTGCACAAGCAGCTCAGAAGGCAGCACACTAGGCTCTCCAGAGAACTCCTAAGGTCGCTCCATGGAGTACAGTGCTCTTCCCCTCCCCAAGGACATGGGGGTTAGCAATTGCTCAGGAGGGCTGGGACTCTTGTGGCGGCACATCCACCTGCGAGTTGTCCGTGCTCCTCTAGGCCACCGTTTTTCCATGTGTCGGTAAGTAACTCCAGTTAAATTCATTGGTTCTCCAAGCTAGACTTGAGTGAAAACTCTAACTGGTCGGTTACTGGTGTATTGTCTGTGGATAACAGACTTGTTCACATCCCCAGGAAAAGCAAGCCCAACAATTAATTCATCAGCTCCTCTTCATCTGGAAATGTCTTAGTTTCCCCTCATATAGTTTTGATGGATACAAATCTCTTGACCGATGGGTCTTTGTTGATGGTGGTGATAGTGATGGTGGTAGTTCATATAGTACCTTAAAAATGTCACCCCCACCATCTGGCAACCTAGTTTTCCACTGAGCAACCAGTTTGGCTGAGATTCTTTTATGTGAGGCAAATCCCTTCTTTCTTGTTGATTTTAAGAGTCTCTGTCAACCAGCAATGTGATTATGTACTTTGGTGTGAATCTCTTGGTGTGAGGCTTATCTTACTAGGAGGTTAATAACATTTAAAGTTCGTATATCTAATTATTCAAATTTTGGAGAAATTGAGCTGTTATCTCCTTTCTAAAGCCGTGTGTGTGTGTGTGTGTGTGTGTGTGTGTGTGTACATATATGTATGGACACCTGTAGAGAGCAGAGAGGGCAGTAGGTCTCCTGGAGCTGGATTGCCTGCAGTTCTGAGCTTCCTGACATGGGTCCTGGGAAGCAAACTCAGGTCTTCTGCAATATCAGCGAGCTCTTTCAACTGCTGAGCCTCTCTCCAGCCCCATTATCTCTCCAAACAAGCTCTTTTTCTTTCTCTCTCTCTCTCTGTCTAGGGCTCCCACAGTCTTAGTGCTGATGGCATTTATTTTAAGTCTTTGTCTAGTAAATATGAAGTCTCTGCTTCATCAAGAGAAGTTTGTGAGCTGGACACCATGGCACATGCCTGTAAACTCAGCATTCAGGGAAGTAGAGGCAGGTGAATTTCTGTGCCACAAAGCAAGTACAAGACAGACAAGACTACACAGAGAAACCCTGTCTCAGAAAAGTAAAAAACAAACAAACAAACAAGAAGTTGTGTTACTTTATTTTTATCCTTTGGTGGGCTGTGTTTTCCATTTCTTTGTACATAGTATGACTTTGTTGTTGAAAATCAGATACTTGATAAAACAAACAAAAAAAAAAAAAACAAACCAACCAACCAACAAACAAAAAAACAGCCATGACGGCCAACCTTTGCAAAGGACGTCTTTAACAAAGGATGTCTTTTAGTAATTTTCTGAGTTAGGGGACCAGCCTGAGGAGAAATCTTAATGTCTTCTCAAGACTTCTCCAAACATGTGTTTTGGGGGTTTATGTGGCTTTTTTCTCTTCTTTCCTTCCTTCCTTCCTTCTTTCCTTCCTTCCTTCCTTCCTTCCCTCCCTCCCTTCCTCCCTTCTTCTTTCCTTCCTTCCTTCCTTCCTTCCTTCCTTCCTTCCTTCCTTCCTTCCTCCTTTACAAAAATGCAGTGTGTGTGTGTGTGTGTGTGTGTGTGTGGCTGTGTATGCCTACAGAGGCCAGAAGAGGGCATTAGATACCCAAGGGTAGAGTACAGGCTGTTGTGGGTCCTGGAAACGGCACTCTGGACCTCTGGAGTGCTCTTAACCACTGAGCCACCTCTCCAGCCACCGTGTCACCCTTGCAATGCCTCCCTTAAATTCTCACCCCAGCTTCTCCTTAGGGGACACTTCTTCTCCACCCGCTCTCTTGCCCTGAGTCTGATGAACTTGCTCAGCACACAGCTTCTCACTTGAGATCTGTGTTAGGCAAAACAAGAGCTGTCCTTCAGAAAGGCCCCCAGAGAGGCTGGCAGCAGCACGCCGCAAGAACTCTGTTCTTTCCAGCGTGGAGGAAGGAACTGAAAACCAGAATGCCACCTTCTCAGACCTGTGTCTCCCTCACAGCAGCACTAGCCTGTGTGTGCGCAGTTGTGTCCTAAGCTCAGTTTGTAAGAGAACAACGCCGCTTGCGCCAAGACGGTGACGGCAGACATGGACAAAGGAGCTGGTCTGAGACCTAATTAAATTGAACCACACAGCTGACACTTTTTGTAGACCAAAGAAGCTGTAACTTTGGCAACTTTGTATGATTCAGCCCAGGATTTTGAAAGTAAGTTGGGACTCGGGACTTACTGCAGAGAAAGAGTGAAAGAAAGGGAAGGAGTGGAGATGGATTTGTGAGCTTTGCTAGGTAAGGAGGGCAGCCTGCTTAGCATAGGGCAGAAGGAGCCCAGTGTGCTTGCCCCTCCACCCCCCCCCCGCATGCTTTCTTCTCAATTCCTCTCTTTCCCCCATCTTTAACTTTTCAGGGGACACAATTACCATGGGCTACATGCTTACCATTAAACATGCGTTTCTCCCACCTGGCTGCCTGTCTGACGTTTTAACGGTTTTGCTGGCTTAGCGTTTCATGGGCAGGGCACACAGAAAGAACATACTTTCAGCGCACAGTTTGAAGTCCGTGCACACTCCCTCAATGTTAACGCCATAGCAACGCGCCCTTAACTTTTTATTTCTTTGAGCCCGACCCTCATCTGGAAGGGTTCTGGGCCACATTTTCAAGCACTTTGGTGCCGATTATCATGAGGCTCCTGAGTTTATGGAGGGAAGGCTAGGAACGGCACGCTGGAGTCTATGCTCAAATTACTATCCTAAACGACTCCATGGGGGGTTTCCTTCAGGGGTCACTGAGAGCCAGAGTGGAATGTTTTTCCTTCTCCGATTTATCCCAGGCCTTGAGGCACGAGAACCATAAATGCAGGTAATGTGTTTAATAGCCAGATTCTCTCGGCTCATTTTCCACCTCACCCCACCCCCAGTGATATTCATGAAACTTCACAAAGCTGCCTGGCCCATTTTGCACTACCTCTGTTTCTGCAAAGGCCAAGAGATTCAGATGACGGAAAGGCATAGAAGGATGTCCTAAAGCATAGACCCTTTCTGGGTGGCTCTGTGGCTCAACCAGACTCTCACGACTGTCAGTCCAGCAGGGAGGTCTAAGCTGCAAGGTGTTTGTCCATAGACAGTAAGTTCCCCATTGCTGGATGTCCAAGCAACATCCAGTCAAGCATGGCAAAGCCACTTGCTACTAGAGAAGCTGAACGAGACTACACTCCTCTGGTGTGTAACTTTTGCTTTTCCTGGTGTCAGTTACCCATGATCGAATTTCAAATGGAAAACGCTAGAAAGAAAAACCTCACAAGTTTTACATTGCATGCGTTTCTGAATAGTTTGAGGAAATCTTACGCCATCCTGCCAGTCATGAATCATCCTCGAACCAGCTATCCTTGTTGTGTCTTCTACCTGCAGGGTAGCCACGAGATCACCTGGCCCATGACATCCACAGTGAGGACAGCTCAGCACTTGTTCCAATGGCCCCGTGTCATTTCATCTCATCTTGTGGGCGTCCGATGAGGCATAGGAAGGGTGTGCAGCGAGAGAGATGGGTGGAGATCACAGTGGCATGGCTTGGATTAGTGTGCATTGTTACAGCTGTCCTGTCTTACTGCTCTTTACCACGTTTAATCAATAGATCAAATGTCATCATGGGGGCACGCAGGCTGCGTATTCCATTTTATCACAGTTTCAGGCATCCACAACGGTCTTAAATGGATTTCTCCCAAGCCAGTCACAGTGGTACACACTTGTAATCCCAATACTCAGGAGGCAGAGGCAGGTAGACCTCTGTGAATTCAAGTTCTGCCTGGTCTACACAGTGAATTCCAAATCAACCAGGACTACATTGTGAGATCGCATTAAAAAAAAATAGTCCCTCAAAAGAGGACAAAAATACAAATACATAAATCATGAAGCTTATGATAACGAATGTTTTCTGAGACTAAAACCCTCATTTTTTTAACAAATATGTATTATATTTATTAGACACTGCCAGAGCTTATTATCAGTGAAAGCTGGCCTTAAGGACGGAACAAAGACGAAGATGCGCACACAAAGAATGCCCTTGGGGAGCATCCGTCCCGTGAAAGCACAGTGACACAGAAGTCATCCACAGCAAAGTAATGGCCACAGCTAAGGTTCCGGAAGGTTTAACCAGGGCCTTTGCACAGACACTTCCAGGCACTCTGAGGCCAAGCATCCCTTCACAAGTGATCACACTCAGGGTCCCTTGAAACTGGAGTCACAGATAGCTGCCAACTACCATGTGGGTGCTGGGAATTGAACCTGTGTCCTCTGGAAAAGCAGCCAGTGCTCTTAACCAATGAGCCATGTCTTCAGCCCAAGATATAGATTTTTTTAAGATATATTTATTTATTTAAATTTTTTATGTAAAGGAGTGCTCTATCTGCATGTTTACCTGCATGCCAGAAGAGGATGTCAGATCCTAATATAGATGGTTGTGGAACACTGTCGTTGCTGGGAATTGAACTCAGGACCTCTGGAAGAGCAGTCAGTGCTCTTAACCACTGAGCCATCTCTCCAGCCCCCAAGATATAGATTTTTAATCTCAGAAAGTTTAAGTAGCTTCATGTGGCTGGTAACTACTGTATTGGGCAGCACAAACCTGACTCCTTAGGAAGCGGGATGCCCACTGTGTTCCCATTAGAACACTAAGAGAGAACTTCAGGATGTGTATTTTGTCTCAGGACCTGACTTGAAGTAACAGAGCAGCAGCACAATGTCCCTGGGAACAGCTTCGACATGACTAGTTGGGAGGCCCTGGATAAATTCCTTAGCTTCCCAGTGCCTTGGTTTTCTCGCTGTGGCTTTAACATAGCCATCCTTTGACCATTTTCTTGATCCAAAAGCCAAAGTGGAATGGGGAAGGTCGAAACTTCAGAGTCAAAGGAGATGCTGTGTGAGCGGAGTCGTCCACATTTTCACAAATTATCAGGAGCGTCCACCTTCCCAGGGCCTGAGGAGTGAAGAAAAGAATATTTACTCCTGTGTCATCCTCCCTTCCACCCCCGCCCGCCAGGCTCCTGTGCCAAAGAGATGAAAGTCATTCTTGACTTTTTAGACTCGCTGCAAAGCATGAGTCAACAAGATAATTCTGGGGGTGGGGTGGGGGTGGGGATGGGGATGGGGTGGGGACAGTCAATAGTTGCATCCTGTTTTTAAGGTTGTTAAAATGCACAGACTCTCTTATTTTCTTTCTTGCCTTCCAATGCACTTGAAAAGGAAACTCCTTCAGAATGCAGGAATGCTTTCTAAGGTTGCTTAGGATTCAACTTGGTGTAATGGCTGCTGTGGGAAGTCCATGTCTGAGCAGTTTGTCGTCGATGTCACTGAAAGTACATGATCATGGGCAAGGGTCCTCTTTGAATTTGATTGACAGGGGTAAGAGTGGTTTTTTAAATGTCTCTTCAGCTCTGAGAGTTCAGTCTTCACTGTTACCGTTTCTTTTCAAATTAGTAATGTGACAGGGTTGTCTGAAAACTTGGGATTAAACAGCTCATCCCAAAACTCAGTGGCTGCAGGTGAGCAGGTGGCTGTGTGAATGACTGTAGTGCCCACCGCCTGAGTGCGCTTGCTGCACGCTGCCAGGCGATGGTACCCTGTGGGGAGCCAGCCTTTGCCAACGGATCCTAGCTTTTTAAAGCAAAACCAGAAATCTGGATTTTTTTTTTTTTTTTGGTCAAACCTCACAGTTTTTAAAGGTTGGCTCAAAATACTGTAGGCTGAGCCAACAACCTGTTGGGTGAGCCCTGCCCTCCACCACCACCCCCTCCCCCCGAAATCCAGGACCAGATCACGGAGCCAAAGGAGCCCTGATCTGGGACTGGTCACAGAATGTCATCTTCGGAAGAAATTCTGGTGTCGAAACAGTGCAGGCCTTTTGTTGTTGTTGTTGTTGTTGCTCTACTCCAGTTCTTTCCGCTAAAAATCAATGCAGTAACCTTTGGCCCAAACCAGTGAAGTCTAGGCTGGGCAGAAAAACCAAAGCGAACAAGAGTCCCGTTCTCTTCCCGAGAGTCAGCACCCCTGTGTAAAGAGTGATGTTCAGAGCTCTGTGATGTTTCAACTTTCCAGGTAGCTGAACCCCAAAGGCCTTGGTTAGCATCAGTTCCTGGGCTGCCCAGCTATCAAACCTTTCCCATGGCTAGGTCATATGGCTCTCTCTGAAGTGATAAGAGACAAGTACCCAGGAAGGGTGATGGCTTCCTACCAAGTCGGTCCTGGAAATGGAGGGAGTTGAATGCTTGCTCCACAGGAGCCTGTCTGTATCCTTTCTCCCCAAGCAGCCATCCCAGTCTATGATATATGGATAGTTCTGCTTCTTCAGTTACTGGCCACATTCTACAAACCAACAACACGGAAGCTCCATGAGACCAGAACCCTCGTCAACCTCGTCCAAAGCTGACTTTCCAGCCATCGTAAGAGCCAGGGCAACTTCTAAAGGCTACTGTCCCGCAGGGTGACAGCACCTGCCCACACCAAGCTGTGGCCTCCTCAATGTTGAGCCCTTCTGTTCATCCTTGAGTCTACACAGTACCATCCATTCGCTGCTGCCACGTGCCTAGCCACTGGTGGTCTCTGAGTTCTCAGCTGTATGATTCTAGGCCCCAGAGACTGGGAACGTTAGCAGCTGATGAATGGTTGCGTCTCCAGAACCAGGAAGTCCATTACTCTCTAAAGCATTTGCTGTTTCTCTGGGGTCTTTGTCAGACAGGCTGCTTTTCAATTAGAGCTTTACCTAACCAGATGATTTACCTCAGGACTGCTGTTATCCCGTGGAGTCACACATGCTAAGCCTGCATCCCCTTCCAAGCCACAGTCCTGAAGCTCACAAGCATCATGTCTCATTGAATCTTTTTAGTTTAGTTGTTTTTTGCTTTCTTTTCAGTAAAGATCAAACATGTTTATCCTTCATTCAATCTCCTAAAAGTGGACAGTGATACCCAGGGGTAGGGAGGAAGTCGAAAGAAAGTGAGAGACAGTAACTAGGAAGTCCTGAACACAGCGCACAGCTGTTGTTGGGCACTCTTACTTTCAATGTGTGTTTTAAGGCCAGATGGTCTGGTATTCCAAAACGTACCTTTCTCGGCCATGTTGGAATGCACACATTAAAGAGAATAAACTGTCCTTGGTCCTAGCCACATTTTCATACAAATGTATTCATTAGCTACATACTGACAGAACATCTTGGCCCCCGTCGCCCCTAGGATTCTAGACTCCATGGAGAACATCAGGTGCCTGTGTGTGTGTGCGTGTGTGTGTGTGTGTGTGTGTATAAAGTGTGATTATAAATATGGGCTTTTCTTCTAAAACATGTCCTGAAAACACTTCTAAATAGGTGCAGGACGCTGACATGACATCATCCCAAATGACCCAACCTCCTTGATGTCCAGAAAATAATGAATTTTTACAAAGAGCAGAACTGTGCCTGTCTTGCTTCTGGGGATTCCCTGCTGGTTGTGTGATGGTGCTGAATGGAGTAAAGAGCTGCAAACTTAGGCAATAGCCTTTAGGTGCCTGGCCACCAGTTTACATATCTAGCTGGGCCTCGTGGACTACTCACCAAGACTTCACTGGTAAGATCCAGCACTCTGGGCAGAGCAGGTTCAAAACACCAGGAGGTCAGATGGGTATATGTGCCATGGTATGCATCTAGCAGAATTTTTATGGAGCAGAATGAAAACTGCATATTCAACCAGAGACCACGTACACTTGAACATTAGGTTATTTCTCTCTTAAGTTGTTTATTGGAAAAAACAAAGTTGGATATATTTAAATCTATGTAAGGGATTTTATAAGAGATTGTCTCAAATACTTGAATTGAACAAACAGTGCTAGTTTAGGAAAACTGCAGCCCGAAATAACTCTAACTCTCTGGTTTGGGGTGCTCAGGAAGGTCTTCTGGCACAAGCAGCAAGGGAAAACACTGAAGACAGACAGATGCTCTTCTTGGGGGCATGAACTTCCCAGAGCAAGCTCTGAATGCCGCTGTACACAGCTTTAAATGAAAGCCGTGGAGTGAGTTGTTGCATAGTTGCCAGTGGCAGCAGCACCATTCACAAACTAAGACAGGCAGTTTCCCGGTCCAAAGGAGAACCTTCTGAATGAGAACAAAGGGTATAGTCTTTCAAGAAGACATACAGTTAGGAACACAGAGGCACCCAACAAGAGAACCTGCGAGGAAGGCAGCCCTGATCATCACCAGGAAGTACTACCTACTCGCACTGGTCAAGGACTTCCACACCAACACCGCATGTCCACGGAGATCACCATGATTCCCAGCAAGGAGTCCTCCCACAAGCTAGCCGGCTACATCACACAGCCAACAACGTGGAGGTCCTAGAGCAGCAGTTCTGTCAGGTTGCAGGAGGAGAAGGAAGAATAATCATGTTCCTGAGGTCTCAGCTCTGGATCAGGAGATCCCTGCGGTAGGTCCTGATACCAAGGAAACACCGAGGCTTCTGGATTTCCACAGTCTCTCCAACCTGCAGGCCACTCCCCCTGCAGTTGGGATGAATTTCAAAATACCATATGGAACCATTTGTATCTGCTATGTAATGTTTTCAATAAAACTGGGAACAGCTAAGAATAATATTATTTAAGTACTTAAAGGTGTCACTCTACGTTGTGAATAGAACAGTTAGGCAGAAGGTCAGTAAGAAGCTAGAAGACACAGACAGCACTCCGAACCAATATCCCTGACAGACATTTATGCAGAGCTCACCGCCCCAAGATGACAGAGATGCATTGTCCTCAAAGTAGACTTGCAGTAGTCACCAAGGTACCCATATACTAGCTCATATATTAGAGGTCAGGGCTTCTTGACTTGATGAAATGACGTTAGAAATACATAACACAAATACACGTGTACAAGCCATACAAGGTCAGAAATCACCTCACCTGACTAAACGGTGGCCAACAAGCAAACCATGAGGAAAACCTGAAAACGCTCTGAGATGAATACAATTGAATCGAATGTACAGTCCACAAAAACTTATAGGATAATGCTCACAGAAAACTTCATGTCTATAAATGGCTCTTGAAAAAGATGTAGGGCGGGAGAGTGACGACTCGGTGGCTAAAGGCGCTTATTTCTCTTGCTTTGGTTCACAACACTCAATGATGACTCACAGCCTGTGTATTTATATACTCAAGCATACACAGGAAGACGGAATTCTTCAAATAAAGAACAAAAATATATTTCAGTGATCCCGGGGATGGAGAGATGGCTCAGCTCCTGCAAAGGAGTCCCTGCACCCACAACAATCTGTAACTTCAGTTCCAAGGGAGCCGATACCCTCAGTCCTCCTTGGGCACATATGCGCTGCACAAGGAGACACACAGGCAAATACCCATACACATAATTAAAAACTCTTTTTCAAAAGAAGCTGGGTGTAATCCCAGCACTCCAGGAGGCAGAGGTAGGCAAATCTTTGTGAATTCGAAGCCAGCCCAGTCTCTAAAGTAAGTCCAGGACAGCCAAGGCAAACAGAGAAACCCTATCTCAAAAAACAAACAAACAAACAAAACACACAAAAAAAACAACCAAACAAAAAACCTCAAAAGAATGAAAGTTGATGACTTAAACTTCCATGAAACTAGAAAAAGAGCAGATGAAATAAAAACAGTACGAGGAAAGGAATAAAGATCATGGTAGAAATGAAAATATCATAGCTTAAAAAAAAAAAACCAGAAAAAAAATAATCAATGAAATCAAAGGTTGGTTCTTTGAAGAGGTGAACCAACTTGACAGACCTTTAGGCAGACTATTAAGAAAAAAAGAGAAAAAAAGCTCAAATGCTAGAGCCAGGAATGGAGCCGTGAGACAGGGGGTTTGCTCACTCTACAGTATAGCACTCATGCCTCCTGCAGATACTGACAGGCTGACTCCAAGGTTTACACAGGAAGGTAAGAACAATAGCCAATAATCTTCAAAAGGAAGGACTGCTACTCCTT